TGCAGGGTGTCATGTTTGGGTCCTCCAACACATTATATTTGTATCTTTCTTTCTAGTTAATATATATATATATATATATCTTTGCATATGCATGTTTGACTATAATAGAATCACTCTTTCATGGTACTAACGGGGGACTGCTAAGTTATCCATGCACGTAAATGGAAAACAATATTGGTATTGAAGTATCTCGATTAGTACAATTTTTAGACACTGCTCCGATGACGATTGTACAGATATAGATATTTTATTGATATAATTCCTTTCATATTTATATGCAAGTCATTAAATTTTCTATTTCATGATAATAAAGTCAATTAACAAAAATGTCCTAAGAAACACTTTGATATGTGCATAATCCTCATATTGCTCCTCCATCTTTCCTTCAAAGCTGTCCTCTGACAGGACAATAAATTCTTTTATTGCAAATTGAAGCAACAGGAGGAAGAGATTTCATTAACATAATGGTGTTCTCAACGGAAGTGCGTCTAGGCTTTGATATATAATGCTAGCAAAGGATATTAAGAAAGCAATTCCCACGTCTGAAAGAAACCCGATCCATAGAAATGTTTCATAATAATTGGGGTGCAACTTTGATAATCTTTTAAATGAAGACAAAAAACCAATAACTTAATACAAAATAAATTGAGATTAATAGAGATCACAAATGGATGAAGTAAACCAATCCATATTACCATATTTGGACATACCGCAGCTTTTGCACCTGACATCAATCTGTTGTTCAAGACTATTACCACTTCTGCATAGATGCTCCAACTACACCTTGAGCAAAAAACTCTTAGAATTTGCTCGTAGGCATAAGCACTTGAACATAGTAGAAAGGATCTTATTTTGATCAAAATCGAACATGAAATAACACTCCTTCAAAGTAATACTCCTCACTCTTTTTTTTAGACCATTGCATTTGAATGAATTCCCAAATCAGTCATTTTTTTTAATTTGTTTGTATCTGTGAATAAAATAAAAGAGAAAAATAGAATAGTTTTTAAACATCAAAACATAATGAATAAAACTAAATACATATCTATTTACATAAGATAGAAAGAAAATATTGAATGTCAAAGTAGTTCTAACAATTCCGTAGTATTTTAAATTCAATTTTCATTTGAACTTGTAGTTCCTTCAACTCGATAGATTATCATGACAAAAATAAAAAAAAATAGTGTAATAAATACATGAAAGAGATGAAGATAAAAAAAGTAGATTAAATACTAATTCATTGATTTGTGGTATAATTAACCATTCTTTTTTTAAGCAAGACGGCCACCCGAAGTACCAGAACACCAGTTAACAAGTGTCTACATAATCACACAAATGATTACCAATCACCAAGAACCAAGTTAGGATCCGAACAACATGATCTTGACCATGGTGGAAGTATAAGAACACGTGCATCTCTAACTACCTTTCGAAAATGCATTATTGGCTTGGCTGCAACGCAAGTACAATTGGATGTGTCTGCTTCTATTTAATCTTACAAGAAAAACCATGGGCAGACCCTTCTCTGCTAGCTTTGTAAGTTAAGTACAACCAAAGTATATGTGTCTGGGTTGGACACACAAAACATGGCTTCTTAGCTTAAATACTACTTAACAAAAAAACAAAATACCTTTTCACAATCTTGTTCCATAATATCCCAAAATCCTAATGGGAACATGTTGTGAAAAACAACAACAATAAAGCGAAAAATGAAACGAGAAAAATTGCACGCAGAAAAACACTAGGGTGACACACAGATTTACGTGATTCGGCAAATTTGCTTATGTCCACGGAGCTGCAGATGATTTTATTACTTCGATGAATTATACCGTCGAGTGTCTCGAAGTTTACAAGAAAATCTCTATTTTTTCTTTCATTTCCTCTCTCTTTATCTTCCTCTTTTTTTCTCTTAGAAGACTTGGCTTGGTCTTGCTTCATACTTTATGACAAGCCAAGAGAAACTATTTATAGAAACCAGGAGAGCGGTATGAAAGAGGTAGGTGAGCAGTAGATGGGAAATGGTAGGTGAGCGGTGGGTGGGAAGATAGGTGAGCGGTAGGTGAGATTCTTAATTAGGAAGTTAATTAAATTGCGATGAACCGGATCTCCACATTACCCAACAATTATCTCAATTAGAGACTGAGACACTGATTGTATCACCTACTGGTTGTAACATCTACCAGTTTTACCGCCCTTTTCCTCAAACATGATATATTCCACCTCTGCAACTCAAAGTTCTTGTCTTCATGTCAGAAGACCAACCGAAGTCGAGCACAATTTTAACTTCTTAAGAATAACACCCTCAGTCAATATATCACCATCAACATAGTTTTGTGCCTCCAAGCTCTTTTTTGGGTTAATCTTGTATTTGCTACCAACTCTCACTACATGGGCAATATCTTACCACTGTTGAAAGCATTTTGCAACAAGTCCAGCTTTGTACCTCTTATTATCATCAAGCGCGGTTTTCACCCAGTACACTCATTTGTTGTGCAATGTCTTCTTCCTTGGTGGAAGTTCTGATTCCCTGCCAGGGAATCTGTCTCCCCATTCTTGGTCAGCTCTCACTTGCTTAAATTCTAATCTTGAAAGATTTCTTCATAGCTCTGTGGTTCTCTACCATTTGTCTAAACAAGGTCCGGTTTTCCAGCCTTTGGCGCTCTGCCACTTTTCAGGAAACTGAGCTTCTTCTGTTTCTTCATAATGCACCTCTAACTCATGTGTTCTCGCCTAAGTAAACATGTAGTCATATATAGTGTGTCAGTTTTGTTACCCCGAGCCAGTATTAATGCTCATTTGGTAACCTTTCAGGTGTTATTTGATAACACCACCGAATAACCACCTTCATTGAGCTGCCCAACAGAGAAGAGGTTTTTCTTTAATTCAGGAACGTGTATAACCTTTTGCAAAGTTCATTTACTCTTGTTAGGGAGTGCAACATCAACGTTTCTCATCTCCATCACGCTCAGAGTTTTCTATCAGTCAGATATTTCTTCCCAAAGTCACATGCAACATAGTCACATCAACTCTCGGTGGAAAGATGTATGGATGAAAGCCCTTGAATCTAGTATACAGTCATCAATAGAACTGTGAACTATCAGCAGTAGCGCATCCTATATTTCTTCAGTTACAACATTAGCATTATCATTCTCCTTCTTCTTAGGATTCTTGTAGTTATTTTTTATGTAGTCAGTCTTGCCACAATTCCAGCAGGTTTTCTGTTGACCAGACTTTAATTTTGATCTTCCTCTGTTTGAGTTTATATCATATGATCTCACTCTGGAATCAACATTCAGCGTCAAAATTGAACACGAGGCCTCTCTAGAATCCTTCATGCGGACCTCCTCGATTAAAATCAAATCACGAATATCATCATATTTCAGCTTAGATTTACTTGTAGAATTGTTGACTGTCATCCTCATAGTTTCTCAACTATTTGACAATGAAGCTAACAATATCAGCGCACGTATCTCATCGCCAAAATCAAATTCAACATACGACAACTGATTTTTGATAGTGTCGAAATCATTCACGTGTTGAGCAACATACACACCTTCCGTCATCTTCAAGTTGAATAATTTTTTCATCAAATGCACTTTGTTATTCATCAATGACTTTTCATACATACCTGATAGAGCCGCCATGAGATTTCCAGTAGTCTTTTCTTTAATGGTGTTGTGGGCAACTAATCTTAACAGGGTTAATAGTATAAACCACAAAATTTATCGATCCAATAGATTTTATTCCACCTCGTCCATCTTTTCCAATCGTTTTCTCAGTAACGGAAGATGAAGTTTCTTCCCATAAAAGTAGTTCTCTATCTGCATCCTCCGGTAACCAAATTTTGTGTCATTGAACTTCTCGATCCAAGATACCATCACTTCCTCTCTACTCATCGCTCTTCCTTAGAACTAAAATCACGATTCTGATATCAGTTATTGTGAAAAACGATAACAATAAAGCGAAAAAATGAAACGAGAAAAATTGCACGCAAAAAAAACACCAGAGCGACACACAAATTTACGGCAAATTTGTCTACGTCCACGGAGATACAGAGGATTTTATTTCTTCGAGGAATTACACTGTCGAACGTCTCGACGTTTACAAAAAAGTCTCTAATTTTTTATTTCCCTTCATCTCTCTTTCTCTTCCTCTCTCTCTCTTAGAGGGTTTGGCTTGGCCTTGTTTCATACTTTATGACAAGCCAAGAGTGATTATTTATAGAAATTAGAGAGTGGTTATTTATAAAAATTGTGAGAGCGGTAGGTGGGAGCTAGTTGCACGGAAAGTGGGATGTGGTAGGTGAGCGGTAGGTGAGATTCTTAATTAAGAATCTAATTAAATTGCGGTAGACCGGGTCTCCACATTACCCAACAAAAAAGAGGTAGGCACATCACCCTATAAGACCTTAAGATCCTATGCAAGATTATTCCTCGATGCCATTGGACATGAACATGTCATTCACAAGCTTTCCAGCACAAACTCTGGTGCATGGAAAGAGAGGCTTAGTGGAAGAGGGGACGTTTAATGCTTAGGATAGAGGAGAAGGAAGAATATAATTAAAGAATGAAAGAACAGTTAATTTAATTTTCCTTGATTGCTGATGAAATGTAAATGAGACTTGATGATAAATTTAAACAATGCTCCGATTTCTGAACAATGGGACAAGCTAGAGAGAGTCAAATGCAAACTGCAAAGTGCCAAAATATACTTCATGGACTGAATCAATATTCACCTTTGGTATAAGATTATTCCATGAACCGAATTAACATTCTCCTTTAGTACGAGATTATAACCAGACTTAAACACAAAAGAAAACAACAACGACGACAGGATAATCCACATTTCAGCAAAAACTCTATGGAATTTACCGCACTCAGCAACAAATAATCCAAAAAAAACCCTCATTTCGGCATTTTCAAGAACCAGAAACTTCAAACAATGGAAAACAACGTGAAAGAAAATAAGAATACGAAGTAAAAAGGGTTCGCGGTCTTTACCTGATACGCCCGCCTAACAATGAAGTGAAGTGAGCGAGCAAGAATCACAGGTAGTTCCAAGATGGAAAGGTGCAATGGCGCCGGAGGAAGCGTCCTTGATTTGGCGAGAGCGAGCGATGGGGAGGGTTTCTGTGTGATTGTGAAGAGCTGCGTTTCGAAATGCAGATTGCGAGGAGAAATTCTCGGAAAAATATTATGCAGGACTCCGAATCGTATTGGATTACGATGGTTAGAATCTTTGCCACGCGTACTTTTAGTCTGATTTCAATTTTCACCAAATGCCGGGGAATTTTCTAAGAGCACTTCAGCCTCAAATAAAATCAATAACTCCACAAAATATAATACTTAAATAACACTTTACTATTTACAAATAACATAGATGGGATATTCCTGTAACACAGCAGAATATTTTTAATGTAATATTTAGAAAATAACAGAAGGATTTGAAGGGAATTTTTTTTTTTTACGATGTCTGTTAATTAGGAAGACATGAATTAGCATTAATCGTATTTTTTATATAATAAATTGTTCATGTGTTGCGTCTATCTACATGTTGAGTGCTTAGATACTGCCTTTAATGCATTCAATTGTAAACTAGAGGCAATATTCCTATTGGATGTATATTTTTCTATTAATAGAATA